TCTTCCTTCTCTGAGTTTTAGATGAAGGGAGGAAAGAGCTGGAAGGTGAAGCCTCCTCTCGGGCTACCTAAGAAGTACTTAAACTAAGGACACAGTATGCTGGCCAGAAGAGGGCTCAGGACCAGAATCCTCTGGCCTCTGGACATCTATATTAGGTTCAGATGAAGATGAAGGATCCTCCAGCGGTTCCAAGGATGGTTCTGTTAAGCTGTTGGAGGCAACACGTGAACATCATTTGGGTCGAATCTCTCTCAGAAGGAAAACTGACTCTCTTCTCACTTGGCTTTGGTCTGGGACTCCTTCATAGTGGTTGGGGAGGGAGAGAGGGAAGTACAGCCTCAAGCCAAACAGACCCCCCACAGTTTCCTGGTGACTCAGTAAACACATCTATGATGCTTGTTGAATAATCTCCCAATAATTGCAGTCATTAAAATCATCACAGTCTCCAGTCACCTTCCTTCCTCTGACATACCAGTCTCTCCTTTAATTGTTAGTGCATTTTTGGCTCAGATAAACAGATCGAGGCAAGCTTGGAAGATAAGGTCCAGTCACACCCAGCAGCAGACGGTGGTGCAGCAAAGGGATGGACTGTTCTCAGCAGACCAGGGACTTTCAGCTTCTCCTGGGAACCTTCCAGAGGCTACAATGCTTTGCCCCACCTGGCATCTCTAAATAGGAGTGACAGACACCTTTGAGGCAGAGACAGAAAAAAAAAAAATAAAGAAGAAAGTCTCATGGGCCTAGCAAGGGTTGAGTTACAATAAGGAAGGGCGTTATGCATGAGTATTAAATAAAAACTTCACAGAAATGAAATTGTGGGAGAGTCCTTCAATTTTCAATTAATTTCCTTCATCCATTTGAACTCAAGACTGGGTGCTTTTAAAGGCATAAATATATATCAACTATAAAAGATCCCAGTCTAATCAAAGACTGCATTTCATTTTCACTCACACGGACACGCTCCAGCTGAGGGAAGGATGCACAGGACTCAACAAGCGCTAAAGGCTGCCCTGGGCTACCCCCCCCCCCCTGCTCAAAGCAGGCAGCAACTGTACAAATGCAGCTTTTTTTTTTTTAAACTGAAGTTATTATGTTTCTCCCCAACTCCCACACGGTGCTGACCTGATAATCACTGCTCTGGTGTAGATCATGCAAATGAAAAGCATAATTAATTGCACAAATGATTCAAAACGGGTGCCTCTGTGGCTTAGCAAATAAATAAATAAAGGCAGGTGGGAGGACAGGTCAGACAAATGCTTTTAAGGGCTCTCTCCCTCTTACCCCCGCCCCCGCCCTGCATCCTAGTTCTAGTGGCCCAGGCTTCCACTGAAACCAGCCCCACCAATTTGAGAAGCCTTCCGTTCCTCCTCTCCCCACGCCTCCCTTCCTGCCTATGTCCTGCGCCTCCAGCTACACCTTACCCCACCTCAGTGTTGCACACCAGCTCCTAACCTGCGCAGAGACTGGGCAGCTACCTAATGTTTACTCAGCTACGGTATAGAGGAGTTCAGAAAATATCTGGTCCTCGGGATCGCCACCCTGCCTGCTTCGAGCATCAGCGAGAAAGCATTTCATCTATGGCCTAGGCGCATGGATCCGGGATGAGAGCTCAAGATGAAACTGTTTCCCTAGCTTCGCCTCTAAAACACCACAAACTTGAGCAGTCGCTCACATCAAAGCCCTTCAGAGAGCCAAAATGGGAGAAACAACATTTGTTCAAGGATAGTGAACTCTTCCCTTTAATTGTTCCATTCTTTATTGGGTTTTGCGTTGAATCTTTTTTCTTTTTTTGCGAAAAAATCATGTTGATTTAACCATAGTGTATTTACGATGTAAATATATGCCAAAATGAAAACGTCACGGATCAATTGTAAAGGACCCGGATACATAATTTTAAAAAATCAGTTTCAGTGTATATGAGGTTCTCACCCCACTTTCTCTGCTCAGTCAGATTTGTTTATGCAGAATCGACATTTAATAGTGCTAATTGCACTCCAGTTAAATTGCCCTGATTGCAGAAAGGGAAGCAATTTTCGTGCTCTCTGTCTGGGTTTGGAAGAAATTGTTTTATATTCACCTCTTTATAAAGAAGTGGAGATAAGGCACCGGGGCCTTTGCACAAATTGCACTTAGGGGCTGACTGGCACCATTCAGGCGCTATAATAGAGCATTATTTGGCCGTTTTGAATAATGTAAAGCGTTTGCTGAAAGCTATTCTCCTGAAAATTGCTTTAACTTTTAAAAGGGCGATGATTCACTCCAAACCAGGCCTTTGTTACACTGTCATTATTTCCCCAAATGTTTTAACAGCCAACTCAACACTTTAGCATAACACATTGATCTTTGTTTAAAAACTAAATTTTTTAGAAGATGAAAAAAAATCTGTCAGACGGGAGGAGGAGAAAAAAAAACTGGACTTTTCCCGAAAGATTTCCTTTGAACCCCACCTTAGAGTTGAGCTGGCCCCGGGTGGCTTGTCTGACTTATTTGGAAGGTTTCCCTAACTTTTATTGTGATGAGGACGTGCGTGTCTAGGAATAAGAGAGAGCCCACGTCCAGAGTCTGACAGCTGGAACTGCGTGGAAAACAGTGGAGGGGGAGGGGACTGCTGGGGTGGGAAGGTGGAGGAGGAGAGGAGCCGGGAGCCGCTAGCCTGCGAGGTGCCTTCGAGAACTGTTTTAACGGTTGGTTTGAAAATGTCACCAGTGCCGAGTGGCTTTGCGGATTGTCTTATGTATTACTTGGTCAGGTTTCCTGAAGAGAGTGGATTGGGGAGGAGAAGTTGTGGGGAACCCTCGACACTTCTCCTCCCCGGGCTGCCCAGGGTGAATCGGAAACGCCTCGCTGCCACTTAACAATCCCTCTATTAGTAAATCGACGCGAGGACGCCACGGGAAGTCGAAGGCCAGCCTCCCCTTCCAGGGCAGAAGTCACCTGTTGGGAACGGCTCCTGGATCCCCCTGCTGGGCTTTCTGGCTCGGTTCTGCAAGCTGGGTACCCCCCACCCACAACCTTCCACCCGGTAGTCCTAGGGCCTTTCTTTACCCTCCCCCTCCTCAGATTTCCCTCTCAGTTCCCTAGGGTACAGGACTCCCTTCGTAGCTGCTCAGATGGTCTCTCCTTTCTCCTTTTCCGCTATCATCTTCCCCCCGTGCTTTTTTTGTCATCTTAAAGGTTTTTTTTTCCTTAAAAAAAAAAAGCATTCTGAGCAAAAATATTCTAGTGAAAAGCAATGAACGCGATTCATATAGCTCTCCACATCGACGAAGAGAGCGGGTGCACGCAGGCCTAGTCTTCCACCTTAAGGTGGGAGAGAAGTGTTGCTGGAGACTTACTTTGGGGCTTAGGGATCTTGCGAAGGAGCAGAGAAAACGCTGGAAGCACACCTCCACGACCTCTTCTCTGGTCCTTCCTCGAGCATTCTCTGGTCTTTTGCACTCGAGCATTTGTGGGAATGCTGGTTGTTATTATTTTGGGATAGCAGGATGTGGGTTTGGAGAGGGAGGGTGCCACTGTTTTTACCATACCCAGACCTGCCCGAGGGCGCTGGTATTTCTAGTTCAACAGCAGCCTCAGGCTATCCTGGAAAAGAGACAGTGGAGACCACTGCGATGTTTGAGGGCACGTCTTTATACCACGGTCCAGAGAGGAGTTGAGGATGCTTCCAGCTTACAGAACGCGGAGGCGCCCACGTGTGGCCTGGCTCTCGCAGACTCTTCCCTGAGGGTTCCGGAGAGGTCTTCAGCAGGTCTGTGACAGCAGGGTGCCGGCTGAGGACGAGCCTACCTTTAGACACACTCGCCCCGGCAGACCGAGTTTCTAGGCCCCGGCAGTCTGCAGTGGAGACAGGTTGGAGCCGAAGCAAGGAAAATGACTCTTATAAACATCTCCTAAAACTCCGACTTCAGGCTGAAATACGACATGCAAATCTCCACCGGGTTAAACAAACAGCGGTGCAGGCAAGCTGCAGCTTCAGCGGGGGTGGCAGTGGGGGCGGACGCCTCGAGCGCTGGTCTCCGTTTCCAAAGTTGTTACAATGTGAAAATAAGCGGCTTCGTGCAGCGTGTTGTATGGGCTGATGCTTCCCACCCCCACGCCAGCCCCCAGCAAAACCTGGCAGATAATCAGCACGTCCCACTGTTTAGTCATATTTGACAACTGGGTTAACCTGGTATCTAGGCGCTGGCGAAGCCATACAAAGGGTGCCCTCAATTACCACCAGAAGCTTCTGGCGTGAGTGGCACTTGTATTACCCCCTGGGTCAGAGGCCAGAGCGACAATTAGGAAGTCACTTAGACCGCTGGAGGGAAATGGCGGGATGCAGCAGGCTCTGAGCTCTCCCAATAAGTCCGCGAGTGTAGACCTGCCTGGAGAGGCCCAGCTGTCCTTTGCGCCCTTTGCTCAATAGGACTCTGAGCGTAAAGCCGAATACAGTGGGAATAAGAAACTGATAAAACGACCACGACAATGATAAAATCGACAGAGAGAGGGAGTGATGGATACAAGTTGAAGTTCTTCCCAGCAAGAACCTATACACATAAAGTGAACGCAAATCTTTTCCACTTGTGCCCTAGGCCCGGGTGTCCCCACCTCTCCTGCTTCTTTCCCACAAGTGGGGAGTGAAGACTGTCAGTCCTAACTAGCAACATCTTGAGGTGACCCGGGTGTGTGTGTGTGTGTGTGTGTGTGTGTAGGGGGGGGGTCTTGTGGATCTGTCTCAACGGTACTTAAACCTGGCTTGGTACGTGAGTGTGTGTAAATTTTTAATTGCACTGTAATTTCTTCTGTCCCCCGCCCCCCCCCCCCCCCCCCCCACGCCCGCAGACTTGACTGGCACGCGCCAGGAACCCGGGCTCGGGCCCCTCGGCGCGTCTGATTGGCTGTGGGGCAGCTCCCGTCTGCTCTGCCTGCGCCCTCATTGGGCGAGAGGCGCAGTCAGCGGCACTTCAAAGCGGGCGCTCCTGGCACTTAGGCTGAGTTTTGCCGGCGGGAGCCCAGAGTCCGCTCGGCGCGAGCGCGGGACGCGGGAGCCGCGCGGGACACGAGTTGTGTTTCCCAGCAGCCGCCAGGCTTAGCACCGCTCCCGGCCTCGTCGCGCAGCCAAGAGACCTGCTATGGCCACGTCTATACTCGGGGTAAGTAAAAAAGCCCTGCAATGCAGTTGCTCGGTTTTTTTTTAAACTGGAGTTATGTTTTTCTTTATGGCTTCTCTGGGTCCTCGGCTCATATGAAACTGTTGCTGGACCGCAGCCTCAGGTTCCTTTTGAGCATTTTCCACATTTCCGGAACTGATCTTTTCAAGTTATTGGAACCTGGGGCACTGCCTTTGCAAGTAAAGAATTTAAGCAAATTCCCTTTTAATTGGTTTTAAAGCAAAGCTGAAGGTTTCTTTTTCTCCCTTTGACTTTACCCCACCCCCTTGCTTTGAGGTTGCATTACAGGACAGTGCTTTCCATAAAAGTCTTGTTTTGCAGGCCATGCAGTTACATTAATAAACATTTACATTTGCGTGGTCTCCCCCAGTTTGCCCTTGACTTTGAAAGCCGTCACCGGGCCGTTTATACTCGGACTATTTTTGTAACTGCGTGCGTGCGTGTGTGTGCTTGTGTGTGTGTGTGTGTGTAAATATTAAAACCACGTTTTTGAACTATAAAAGAAAATAGCTAAGTCGTAGCCACTCATACGAGAAGTGCTCTAAGTTTCTCCCAGCCCTGGGCCGCTATTTCGGCCATCCCCCTGCCCTCGCGTGTTTGTTGTCTGTGTTTACCTTCGTGCTTCACCCGGAAGGACGACTTGGGGGCTCCTGGGAGAAGAGTGGGTTTATGGCGTCAACCCAAGTCTGATTCTAGACAAGGGTGGCAGCGAACTAGGTGAAGGAAACCGAGGCATCTCTGATCTATAGTCTCATGGAAGAACTTTCCAGCGCCAGGTCCTCCACGCTTGTGATCGCCTCTGTCTTGCGCGGGGCGCGGCACGTCCTCGGCCAGCGCGTGGGGAGGAGGCGCGAGCCCGGGTGTCAGGGCGCTCTGGGACCCGCGCCGGGCCACAAGGCTGCTCACGGGTGCACTTTGTGTCTTCCCCCCCACTTCCTCCTCCTCCTCCTCCTCCTTCTCCTCCTCCTCCTTGCTCCCTCCTCCACCCCACCCACTCCAGGAAGAGCCACGCTTCGGAACGACCCCGTTGGCCATGCTGGCGGCGACCTGCAACAAGATCGGCAATACCAGCCCGCTGACGACGCTGCCCGAGTCCAGCGCCTTTGCCAAAGGCGGCTTCCACCCCTGGAAGCGCTCTTCGTCCAGCTGCAACCTCGGCTCCAGCCTCTCCGGCTTCGCTGTGGCCACGGGCGGCCGCGGTTCGAGCGGCCTGGCGGGTGGCTCGGGAGCCGCCAACAGCGCCTTCTGCCTGGCCTCCACGTCCCCCACGTCGTCCGCCTTCAGCAGCGACTACGGCGGCCTCTTCTCTAACTCAGCGGCGGCGGCGGCCGCGGCGGCCGGCGTGTCCCCGCAGGAGGCGGGCGGCCAGTCGGCCTTCATCTCCAAGGTGCACACGACGGCTGCCGACGGCCTGTATCCGCGCGTGGGCATGGCGCACCCGTACGAGTCGTGGTACAAGTCGGGCTTCCACTCGACGCTGGCGGCGGGCGAGGTGACCAACGGCGCGGCGTCGTCGTGGTGGGACGTGCACAGCAGCCCCGGCTCCTGGCTGGAGGTGCAGAACCCCGCCGGGGGGCTGCAGAGCTCGCTGCACTCGGGCGCCCCCCAGGCCTCTCTGCATTCGCAGCTGGGCACCTACAACCCCGACTTCAGCTCGCTCACGCACTCGGCCTTCAGCTCCACCGGCCTCGGTTCCTCGGCCGCCGCCGCCTCGCACCTGCTCTCCACCAGCCAGCACCTCCTGGCCCAGGACGGCTTCAAGCCGGTGCTGCCCTCCTACTCGGACTCCAGCGCCGCGGTGGCCGCGGCCGCCGCCAGCGCCATGAACTCGGCGGCCGCGGCCCCCGAGATCATG